GATTAGAGTGGGACACTCTGAGCCTAGAATATTGCACCTTTTCACAATATTCTAATTTTCTGAGATTGTGGATTTGGGGTTTTCATGAGCTGTAAGCCATAATCATCACAATTATGACAAATCACAGCTTGAACTATCTTGCTTTGCATATAATGAGTCTATCTCATATATTAGTTTCACCTTTTAAGTTGCATTAGTGAAATAAATTAACTTTTGCACGATATTCTAATTATTTGAGTTTCACCTGTATTGCTCCAGGTTTGTCAGGTTGGATCCCATCCAACATACTCCTGCTGTTCTGGTTTAAAATTTAATAATAACAAGAATGTAATATTTATCCTTATGATCTATGCCTACTAGCTGCTGGTGCTACCTATATACAGTCCATCAAAGATGATGAATACATTTAAAAAAAAAATGCAATACTTTCTGCCCTCTTTCGGCTTAATTTGCTTTTCTACTGGTTGTTGTCCAACATGTTCAGCTCTTTACATGTCCCATCACCAATACCATAAGAAATTGGTGACTGGAAACATAATTACCATCATCCTTCACAAAACACAATTTTTGCTCTATAATATTTTTATCAAAATGACTTTCTAGACGTGTGCAGGGTCAGATTTTGGTGTATGTGTGTGTGTGTGTGTGTGTGTGTGTGTGTGTGTGCGTGCGTCTGTGGCACAACCCAACAGGGTTTTTCCATGAAAAAAAAATATCAATCCTATTTCTAACTGCTATGGAGATGAGGATTGAGTGGTGGAATTAGGCATATCTTCTACAGAGCAGGTTTTAAAGTGAAACTGGGACTAAAAGATGGCTCCTAAAACTGAGGAGTGCATTAAGAAATCTTAACTTTCTTCTTTGAAAGTTCTACCACAGCCACCCTGAAATATGTATTTGTTTTTATAGAACAAATCAGCACATTGCACTAAGGAATAAGGTGTTTTGGTGGACCATTAACTTCAGGGTGTAAGATACAATTCAGAGCCTTGGTTTAGGATCTTCAGGGCACTTATGAAGGTAAAAGAGGTATGTTCAGGGACCTCTTGGTACCTGCTTTTCACTCACCATTATTGTCTGAACTCTGCTACAGTTTTATTTGAAGAAGTTTGCTTATGTTTACAACCATTGCATATAAAAAGCTCCCCCTATGGAAATTTGCTAACTTTTGATTTTATGATTATAGTCTTAAACTTTCAAAGAAAGGTTGTTCCATCTTGCATATGTCACCTAGATGTTTGACTTGCTTATGATAGATGACAATCTCTTGCAGAATCCAGCAACAGAACACTCAATGCAGTGCATATGAACTCATATGTATTAATGAAAATTAATTAATTAAACGTTTAACAGCTCAATACTTACAGTTGTAAAACATATCTTCTCTTAACATAGCCATCTAAAAAAGTAAAATAAGAAAATTGATGAGTTATGTGTCCATTGTTAACTTATAATCAAATTTATATGCAAGAATCCCCATATAAGTCCCCCTGCCCCTAAGGAAATGTGTTAGTTAAAACACATACAGTAGTGTATTGTAGCTCACGTTTTTCCAACTTCCTGCTGTCAGATAGCGATGTGCCGAACAGACCCGAGTTTGATTCGAATTCGAACTTTAGAACATGTAAAAAAGTTTGAATTCGAATTCGAACTCAACGCAGGTCTATGGGGCCAACTTGGAAAATCAGTTGTCCCCTTTTTGAAGGCTTATTTGCAAGTTAATGGCCATAGAAAGTGTATGGGGATTCGGGTACTGCCCTGAGGGACATGTATCAATGAAAAAAACACTTTTAAAAAATACAATTTTTAAAGGAGCAGTGATTTTAACATTGCTTAAAGTGAAACAATAAAAATAAAAAATTCCTTTAAATATCGTGCCTGGGGGGTCCCCATAAACTGTTTGTGTAGAACCTGCTGCAGCAAAAATGACATTTATAAAGAAAAAAATTACATTTATAAAGAAACAATCCCAAACAATCCCTCCCTTTAGGTCTGGTAGGAATTTTAGGAGGGACCCCTAGTTACAATTTAAAAAGCAAAAGTGTGTGGGGTTCCCCCTCAAAGTCATAGCAGGCCCTTAAGGTCTGGTAGGAATTTTAAGGAGCAAACCCACCCCCAAAAATGGGTAAAAAAAGATGTGTGGTCCCCCCTAAAATTCCCAACCAGACTCGTGATCTGAGCACAGGCCTGACAGGGCAGGAAAGAAGAGGGGGGGGCGAGCGAGTGCCCCCCTCCCTGCCATACCAAGCAACATGCCCTCGGCACTGGGAGGGTGCTTTTCCAGGGTCGCCACTGGAAAAGCACCTCGTCAGAGTATAAAAACAACCCAGCAGAATTGACAGCCTCCTCTAAACTCTACCATGATATATTGGCACTAGACATAGATACCAATTGGCTGTTTGTTGCATTTAATAGGTTGCAAGGAGACTTGTAGCCTATTCATCTTTATGGTTAACAGGGGTGCTGAATTCCTATCACCAGTCAGTTTTTTTTATTTCTAGATTTAGCCCTGCTGCAGGCAAGAAGCAGAGTTCAATGTAGAACAGGGGAGGCAATTTTGTACAAGTGATCTGGGCGGCTGTACTGCAGCATTGGAGGGCAGGCTCCATGAAGACAGCCTGTCATCTCCGTATGTCGGGTTCCAGACAAGCATTTCTCTTTCAAAGATTTTATTAGTTTTATATTATAAAACATCCATATGCAAACATTGGCATCGATAATCTACAAGGATAAACATGATCAATTCCTCCCTGCTGACCCTCCCCGCCATATCGTCACTATCAGAACAACCCAACCAAATCATCAAAACAGCACAGGATAAACAACAGCACAAGTCAAAACAACAACACAAATCGAAACAAAACCAAACAAACAACAACAACAACAAAAAATAAAAATAAAAATAAACAAATCTAAAAAAAAGCACATATGGTTTCTTCCAGGCCTGGGCAATGGTCTGTTTGGCCGCCAACATAACATAAATCACCAGTTTATGTTGTAAGTTGGTAAAGGAAGAGGATTTAAAATTTTATAGGGCTACCTATGGGTCTCTTTCCACACCGACCAAGAAGAAGTCCCCAATCAGCTGAAATACTTTCGACCAAGACCTATCCAGTTTTGGGCAGGTCCACCAGGTATGAATAACATCTCCCCTGGAGGCACATCCTCGGAAACAAAGATCCGAGTGTGTCGAGTGGAGATGAGCCAACCTTGAGGGCACCAAATACCATCTGGTTAAAGTTTTAAATGCCGTTTCTAAAAATATTACATTTATAGAACAAGTAGCTATTGATTGGCAGGTTTTTTGCCATTCCTTTGGTTGTCTAGTCATTCGAAGCTCCCTTTCCCAATTCTGTACATATTTATGGTTATCGGGCATCGATAACCTATTTAATTGGGAGTAGAGTATTGAAATAAGTTTAGGAGTTGTAGGACGGTTTAGACAGATATTCTCAAAAAACGTTAATTCTGATATAAATGGAGCTTTAGGGAGCGTTGATGCAGCTCAATGTCTAAGTTGTAGATATCTAAAATATTCCGTATCTGGAGCATGTAAATTATTTTAAAAAATGGGACCAGGTACAAATTGTGCCGTCCTCCACCAAATGATGTAGGCACGTCACCTTTTGAGAGGTCCACCAAACATAGGACTTTGTCTTTCCCATTCCCGGTAGAAATAAAGGGTTACCTACAATTGGATGTAATTGTATATGAGAGGATTGGAATTTACTATAATGTTTTGTATTATCCCATATTTTAATCATATGTTTCAAGATGGGGCTCATTGTTTTTGGACGTAGCCTAGCCGGCAGTCAAGGAATGGCCCTTAATGAAACAGGTGAACAGGCGCATTCTTCTAAGTCTACCCAGAGTGGTCGGTATAGAAGTTTATTAATGGAACTATTTGTGCTGCTAGATAATATTTATAGAAATTTAAGAGGCCTAGCCCAGGAAGAAACTCTATTCTGAAATGAGTGGATGATATACTTTGAAATTCAAACTGGTATAATTCGAAACAGATAAAGTACTTTTGGTAATATTGACATTTTAATTGCATTCATTCTACCTATCCATGAGAGTTTATGTCTCGTCCAGGTTAACAATAATTCCTGCATTTGTCTAAACAGGGATACATAATTGACATTATAAAAAGATTGGCAATTTTTCGGAATGTTAATTCCAAGATATAATAAATGCGAGGACCTCCATTCAAAAGGAACATTTTGTTGTAATGCATTAACTTCAGTGTGTGACAGTGAGATATTGAGGGCAGTTGACTTAGTCTCATTAACCTTTAAGTTGGAAATTTTTGCAAAAAAGTTTAAGTCATGAAACAGATTAGGAAGGGAAATGTGAGGGTTAGTCAGTGTGAGCATTAGATCATCTGCAAACATGTGGAGTTTATACTCTGTGTCCCTTCTCTACACCTCGCACGTCCATGTTAGTACGTATAAGACAGGCCAGTGGCTCTATTGCGAGAACAAACAAAAGTGGGGAGAGGGGACATCCTTGGCGGGTACCTCCTAGTATAGAAAATGGGGGCGAGTTATAGTGAAGGTAACGTACTGAAGCAGAAGAACCTCAATATAATGTCTGTAACCAGACTAAAAAACTATTAAAAAAATCACCATTTCTTTAGAATATAAAATAAATAATCCCAGGAGACAAGATCGAATGCTTTTTGAAGGTCTGGAGATAATAGCATACCTGAAATTTTCGCATCATGCATATGATGGATAAGATGTGCAATTTTACGTGTATTATCTGATGCTTGCCTATAGGGAACAAACCCTACTTGGTCTCGGTGACTGAGAGCTGGCAAGAATTGATTTAATCGTCTAGCTAAAAATTTTTGAAAATAGCTTTATATTTATGTTCAATAAGGAGATTGGTCTATAGTTATGAGGGTCCGTATTATCTTTGCCGGTTTAGGAATCATCACTATGTGAGCCAACAGGGAGGAGGGGTGAAAAGCATGACCCCCTTTCAGGTGGTTAAACAGTGCTACTAGGTGAGGTGCCAGACTATTTGAAAACTGTTTATAATATAATGCTGAGAATCTGTCTGGACCTGGTGTCTTATGTATCTTTAACGTTTTAATGGCTTGTTTTTACTTCGAATATGGAAACATCTGCATCCATAATAGTTGTCATGTGTTTCATTGAAAGGAGGTAGTGACACACATTAACTGATCAGCTAAGCGAGGTTGGAACCCAGAAGTTTTACCATATATCTTAGAAAGGAGAGAAGTAAATCTAGATACAATTTTCGCGGGATTAGCTGTCTCCCATCTGGGAGACGTAGTCTAATCTGATATGGCGTGTTTGGTTTTGATTTCAGCATGTTCGCCATCATTGGCCCAGGTTTATTAGCGCACGTATAAGTTCTCCCCGCAGAACTGTCTTATATGCTTCCCATTGAGAGATTGGAGATGAAACCGATCCCTAATTTTCCCTAAAAAAGGAGGAGATACACCCTTCATGACCCTATGTAGACAGGGACAACCGGTGCGACACACCATTGCTGTCATATATGAGATGCTCTCCTCCCCTCCCCAGGACTATTGCCCTCTGTACATCAGGAAATGGGAAACTGAGTTAGGGCAGACATTCACAGATGAACAGCGGGTTAAAATGTTGTATCTGGTCCACAAGGCCTCCATTGCTAAGCAGTTTTAAGAACAGGGATACAAAATCTTGGCCAGATGGTACAGGGTCCCAACACTCCTGCACAAAATAAATCCACTGGTTCCCTCCAACTGCTGGAGATGTGATGCGGTACAGGGAAACATGGCCCACATCTTCTGGTTTTGCCCCAAGATTAGACCCTTCTGAGACGCAGTTAGGGGCATCCTGACACAGCTCACCATGGCAGATCCGGGGGATCATCCTGCAACCTACCTTCTTTACATGACAGGCAATGCTGTGACCAAGTACAAGCGCTCCCTTACCATTCACCTGCTCTCTGCCGCCAAAGCGTGTATTCCTTTCCTATGCAGGCAAACCACCCCTCCAACTCTGCGTCTCTGTTTCGATAAAATCAATGACATATACCGTATGGAGGATCTCACAGCGTCTATACATAACACAGAGGAACGGTTCGGCTCTACCTGGGGAGCCTGGCTCCACTTCTGATACTCAGACACATACATGAGGGCTATGACAGATCAAGCACCTGGCCACGCGGCTGGACCATGAGGAGGGAGAGCGGAGACCTGCCCCTACTTTCACGTCTGCTTCTATCCCTATGCCTATGTCTCTACTTCGTTTTCTCTTTTTCTCCACTCAAGGGGAAAGCTGTTTACAACCCCCTTTCTTAAGGGCTACCAAGATTTGTGATCATGAATGATTGTGCATGGATGTTCGCATCCATACTGAGGTAAATGGCCTGGAGCTGCAC